GGGGGAGTGTTATGGCGGTGGTGGGAAAACCAGACGCTGTGGAGAAAAAACCTGCAGGTCCAGGAAAGAAATACCCAAGGAAGTATCGGCAAGGAGGGGAAGTCGGGGGCAAGGCTGCACAGCACCGTGGGAAAGGGTGGCAGTGGGCAATGGTGCGGCCAGAAGCTTGTAGCTACAACACGGGAATGCCACAAGGAGAACAGGGGCTGGGTGCCTCCCTGCGGGCTGCCTGCACCATTCGGGCGCTCAGTGGCGGTTCTGGAAGGCCGGGGTGGGGGGAGGCTGGAAAAGCGGGAGTGAGGCAGGGAGTCAGGAGCCTCGCAGGGGAGCCTGCAGAAGGGCGCAGCTGAAGCGGGGCTCAGGGCTGACTGGTGAGGTCCGTGTTCTGGAGATCAAGAGCACCTTTGTGAGAAGCTGCTGCCATGTGAGGGTACCACGGAGAAGCCTCACCACAGGGGCTGTGCTTGTTGGCCGAGTGGGGGGAGTCAGGGTTGGCACCTGTGGCAAAAACAGCAGCTGTTCCTAGTTTCAGAGCAGTTGGCCTCCCAGAACCCCAAAGTTCCCATCAACTGCCAGCTCAGCAAAAAGGCAGCCGGCTATAGTGGTCAGGAGCGCAGCTGCAGCTCTAGGCTGCACCACGAGAAGACGAGGTCCCTTCACCGATGACGTCCTCTCTGGGGATACGCCATTCTGGGGGAGACTTGGAGCACGGCTGAACTGTGCACTGGGGGAGGGCAGGACGCAGGCTCGCAAATGCTGTGGAAACAGGCGAGAGCTACTGAAGGAACTGAGGGTGTTTAGACTGGGGGCATGGTGCAGCGGTGCCTGTAAATAGCATCTGCTGTCTCGCAGAAAGGGAAGCTGGCGAGGCGCGGTCAGCGGGTCCCCCTACCCCAGTCATGCCTCTCCTGGCGGTGCCCCACCCACACTTGTGCTGGGAGAGTCACCGCTGTGACCGGCCAGGTGTGCTGTGGGCTCAGACAGATGGCAGTGCCCAGGTGAGCGCCGGTACTGACTAACCCTGACCTAGGTTGGCTTCCTCCAGACTGCTCCAAGAGGCAGGCCTCGGGCTACCTGAGGCGACTTGGAAAGGCCTTTGGGTTGCTGTGACTGAGAACTTGTGAGCGATTTAAAGAGCCCCTAGGCTCCCCGGCAGAGGTCTAACCCTCCTCACCAGCTGCCACGAGCGAGCGCAAAGGGGAGGCTGAGAGAGCACCAGGGTCAGAGTGGGAGGAACCCGGTGAGAGTTCAAGTCCCTGGCACATTTTAAGAAGGTTGAGTTGCAGACAAGCGAGACAGAAAGCACGGACGCCAGTTCCCAAGCCTCGCTAACGCCCTGCTGAGCAGCCCCAGAAGGCTGCCCCGCGCTGCTGCTGGCAGTGGTTTCTGTTCCCACCTGGGGCTACAGACTGCCTGGGTGTGGCACGGAGCAGAAGGCATGCCACCCACACAGCAGCTCTAAGGTGGCACAGCTGGCGATGCGCCCAAGTGAGTCGGCGAATTTCTTTTGCACGATATCTCACTCTGGTCAACCTGGGGCCAAAGGGGGGTGGGAGGGGGTGCTCCTTGGACTCAGACGGCTTTTTGTCAGCCGCCATCCTATCGGAACACTTTCCACTTTCATTCTCAAAAGCTTTAGTACTTCTCACCTACAAGCTCAAATACCAGAGCTCACACTCCACTCCCACCCGCTCGGCCGCCTGCCTTCAACATCCCTGCTCAGCTCCCGGCGCTGGCGGCCTCATGTTTTTCTCCTGTTTCTGCCGCCAGCCCAGCCGCCTGTCCAAGTCCAGCGAAGAACTTCCTCCTCCAAGTACTTCCCAAGGCCGCCCACGAGCTCGCCACCCTCCCGGGTGCGGTCACTCCGTCACTCCTTGCTTCTCCGGGTGTCTCGTGGCCAGGGCGCAAAAGCCACTGGGCGCCTCGCTGTGCCCTGCGCAGTCACTGGCCAACGGGGTCCCGTGGGGCTGGGCTGCCCCCCGTCCTCAGCACCAGTCACGCTGTCCTCCCTGCCTCAAGAGGCCAGACTTCATTCC